GGGGGGCTGAACCCCAACCTCCGTTCTCCCCACAGGTCAAAGCCTGCGCCTCCTCCCTCAACACCAACGACGTGTTCGTGCTGAAGGCCCCCGACGCCACCTACGTGTGGAGAGGGGTTGGCGCCACCGAGGAGGAAGTGGCCGCCGCCAAGCATGTGGTGGCCATGCTGAAGGGCAGCGCCAGCGAGGTGTCGGAGGGCAAGGAGCCTGGTGGGTGTGGCGCGGGCGTGGAGGGGGGTCTCAGGAGGGCGCCAGGCCTTCAGCCTCGCTCGGCTCCCGTCACTCTGCGACGGTGTAGAAAGAGACGCTCGTCTGCCTCCTTAATTCCTGCAGTTCAGATTTGGAAGGAAGGAAGTCTGTAAGACATTTTCGTGGACATCCACCCCTCGATCTGCGATCGCCCCGGTTCATGAAGTTTTGCCGTAACAAAATGTGTATTTTCACACGGCCCGTAAAAGCACCTCCACAGCACAGTGCTTAACATTTTTACATTGTCTGTTCTCCAGACTTGGGTTTATTGAACCTCAGGGTTTTACATGTAAGGGGAATTCCCTTTTCCATTTCACAATTTTCACCTGGGAAAAAGTTGTCAAGGAACAAATTACATTCGGAAATCAAGGGATCCGTAAATCTTTCTTCTGCTCTGCTTCAAAATTTATTTGGAAATTCTGTAGTGAAAATGAACATCTACCAGAAAACACCGCATTTAGGACATTAAGATATTAGGATTACATCCAGTAAAAATATAGACACAAAGTTTTTGCTGTACTGAGATCAAAGCTAGGTTATAAACCTAGAGAGGATAAGAGTGTTTGGCTGATTTGTGGTTTAATATCTCCTCTCACCTGTCAGACAGACTCCTCCCATCTTTGTGTGCAGGTTGGTTAGCTGTTTAAACCCCACTCCTTCCCTGCCTGTTCAGTCAGTGGCAGGTGCTGCTTCGTCTGTGTGTACCGACCCTCTGATTCCAGCTGTTTCCCTCTCGCACAGCTGGATTCTGGGCGGCTCTGGGCGGCAAGAAGGAGTACCAGACCTCTAGGAGCCTGCAGAAGGCCGTGACGCCACCGCGCCTGTTCGGCTGTTCCAACAAAACTGGGCGCCTCGTTGTGAGTAGAGACGCTGGGGGGGCGGGGGCGGGGGGCAGGCGGCGGCGGTGGGGTCAGTGTTTCAACACGCTCCGTCTCTCTCCTTCCAGGCGGAGGAGGTGCCCGGAGATTTCACCCAGGCCGACCTGGCCACCGACGACGTCATGCTGCTGGACGCTGGCGATCAGGTGGGCGCATGGCTGGACCCCCGACTTCTGCTTCCTTTCCGCCTCTTTTAAATAATCAAGGGCCTTGCAGTGCAACGGAGGCCGAGGCAGGAATCGCCCCAACCTCGCCTCCGATCCTGTTTTCTTATCGGGTGCAAGAAGCCCTGGGGGTTAGGAGGCGGAGTGACAGTGGGCTTTATTCCTGCGTTTCAGATCTTCCTGTGGATCGGGAACGAAGCCAATGACGTGGAGAAGACTGGCGCTCCCAAAATAGGTAAAGCAAGAATGTTCAAATACGCCTTAAAATGTCTGGGGATGGATTTTGCTGGACGCGGCTCGTCTTCCATTCCAGAGGGGTGACCTGCGCACTAACGCTGTCTGAGTTAAAGTGCATCGTGAGACGTCGTTTTGTTACTGTATTTGGCTTCTCCGTGTCGCGCAGGGCAGAATTGTTTGGATGCTAAGGGAATGTGCTGGGGCGTATAGGAAATTAGATTTTTCCGTTGTTTTTACAGCGAAGGAATACGTGGATTCAGACCCCTCCGGACGGCGCGGCATCCCAGTTACCACCGTCAAGCAGGGACACGAGCCGCCCACCTTCACTGGCTGGTTCATGGCCTGGGATTCCAACATGTGGGACACAGACCCCCTGGACAGAATCAGGGCTCATTTCTAAACCTGTCAGCTCTCTCACACACACGCTCACACGCACGCAAGCTCGCGGGCCTCCTTTGGGTCACACTATCCGCATTCCGCCTTCCTGGGCAGGGGCTGCAGCGTCTTTTCAGTGTGGGGGTGGACATCCAGACGTGTCTGCTCACATCCGCAAATATTATTGAGCAGGGCCGTACCGGAGTCCTTTTTCCGGGGAAACGGCCTCTTACTGGAGAGAGCCAGTTCCAGGGCTGCCTTTCTAAGCGCATGCTTCTTCCTCTTCTTTCATGCCTTCTATCATTCTCAAGAGCCAGGTGCCAAACGTGACAGCAGCTGTTGCTTGGCAGCTATAAGCTGTATTTGCCAGTTGTGAGATATGGAAACACTCGGCAGTAAGACATTCCCGCAGCACTGGGGGAACACAGGCGTGTTCCCAGAAACAAGACAGTCATTCAAACCATCATCTTCTATTTGTTTTATTTCGAAGGAATTGATTTGTTTTCAGATGTTACCTAAAAAACGTTCTCCTCTTCCAGGGATTTCAAAGCCATAGGCTTGTGTTACTGGTGCCTCTCTTAAGCTGAGCTGCTGATGGCTTAAGTGATACTCGCTGGCATGACATTTTAAAATTCTGGTTTTATTCTGTTTCTGGTGTCTACAGAACATGGTTGGTTTGTAATAAACAACAGTGGGCTTTTTGAAGTGTTTTGCGTTCTTTTTTTGTCAGGTTCAAATACTACAATCTAGTTGTATCATGAATAATTTTAGACAGGCACATTTCGAAGGGATTGTTCATGGATAATTGCTGCACATCAGACTTGCTTGGTGCCGGTGAATTCATGAAGATCTCGGTGCCCCGCTGTGCAGCAAGGAATACTGCGATCTCTCAGAACACGTGTGATGTGTGGTTAGATGAGGCATGAAAGCAGGCTGTGTGCTGGAGTTAAAGGTGTTTGTGAAGACTGGCAATACTCGTTTCAAGAACATTAGAAAGGCCGCAGATGAGAGTGGCTTCCCTTCTGCCATTTCAAAACCACGAGCAGTCACCCACAGCAAGGACAGCGGGCGCTGAAGGCAGCGAGACGCTGCTTACAGGGGTTCCCTGTGCCCGTTGCTCACTTCTGAAAGTATCAGATACAAACAGACCTGTGTGGATCACAATGATACAAAACACTTGCCTGAGGTACCAGCGTCTGTGCAAAGACACGGCTTCCAGCCTGCTGGGCAACGTGTGTCAGATCTTCATACTGAAGCTCCAGCCCAGTGACGTCGGAGACAACGGTGCACAGGAGTTGAACAGTTTCACTTTAGGTTCCAATAATAACACAGGCTGCTGATCCAGCTATTGACACTGATAATAGTAGAGCTGCAGAAGACCTACCGAACTGGTTTACTGGCAAACAGAGATGCTATAAACCCACCAAGTAAATCACACAACCCACCCGTATGCCATACAATTACTCTTTTATACAGCTATTTATGTCATGTGACTTCATTCCAGAATGAGACAAGAGCCCGTTTTGAGGCGCCGCATTGTGCCCTCTAGTGGTGAAGCTGTTGCCCTGCAGTCCCTCTCTCGGGTTCGCAGGGAAATCAGCTCAGCATTTTCCTCTCTGTCCCTGCTTTAAGGCCAGTCTGTCGCTCAACACTGTCAGCACACATGATATTGTACTGGCAGGCAAGGTGCACAGCCATCTGTCTGGACATCCTCACTTCCTGTGCTGTCCATGCTGCTAATATGATTACTGTAAGCCCCTGTGTCCATCTGGAGCTTGTGTAAGAGACTGGAGTCAATCCCTATAATCCACAATGGGCACAGGTGTGCGTTTTTCGCTGCTGCTGAGTCAGCGTTCCTGCACATAAAGCTCTGGCGACAGCAGGAGGCTGTGTTGTTTCGCCCACGGTCTAGCTGGAAGCTGGAAGCCCGAGCCCAGACATGGAGCAGAAAGTGGTGCTGATCACGGGCTGCTCCTCAGGGATAGGCCTGGCCCTGGCCGTCCGGATTGCCAAGGATGAGAAGAAGAGGTTCATGGGTAAGTGGCGGTGGTTGCTGGGGTGTGGAGAAATAAGGGGAGACCCGTCGACATCCGCAGAAGGCATGATCGCAGCGGTCTCCAGCCCTGGTCCTGGAGAGCCAGCAGTGTCTGCAGGTTTGCTAGGTCTCTTTAAAGCACCAGTGTCTGGGGGAGGCCGTTAAATAGGTCCGGTTGAGCCTCTGACTCAGGTCAATAAGAGCACATCTGGACTGAACACCTTCAGACACCCGCCGAACCTCCAGAACCAGGACGTGATGCGACAGGGATCCGTCAACACGTAGTTATTTCCTTTGTGTTCACTCTAATTTGCCTTAGTTTTTTTATTCATGAGCAAAGACAGAATTTGGATGGAAGACAGATTACATGTCTGACACTCTACACTTTTAAAGGGCACAACCAGCCCTAGGCAGCAGGGTTATAGTACAGGGTTGTGTATGTCCTCTTAAGTCATATACAACTCTCGAAGCTGTAACTGGAGCCCTGACTCAACCCTCCGCAGTGTTACAATGTTGATGGTTTAAAGAGACATAGAAATCATGCTGGATTCCGGACTCTGAGGACTGCAGCTGTTACAGTATGTCTATCCTCTGCCAAAACGAGCTGTGCACAAGATGATGTCATAAAGCCGAGGTTTGAGCAGTGAGTTTGGTCGTATTCCAACATATCAAATGTTTCCTCTGTCATGGTAGTTTTTATTCATGTGGTAATTTATATTGTGTCAAGAGGGGCCAATGAGATAGCTCAAAGGATGGCTAAGTTAAGTGTAAAGTGAAGCACTGGACTTAGCCATCCCCTCATTTCATCCAATTAAGCAGGCTTTCAGGCAGTAAAGTTTTTTGTTTGGCGATGTTTCAGAAAAGTAGGTGGGTTTCAAACAGCTAAATAGGGGGAAGGAAAGGATTTTTATTGAACAGAACCCGAATTAATCAGGGTTACAGTAAAGGGTTTTCTATGTCTCCTCACAATGCTGTAACTGTGACGAGCGAGATCTGAGCATTAGGACTGACCAAGAAGCTTTCTGCTGCTGTGGGAGCTGGGAGGAACAGCAGCCCAACGCTCAGGCAGACCCTGACCCTGCTCCTGCCCCTCCTCAGTGTACGCCACCATGAGGAACCTCAAGAAAGCCGACGACCTGATAGAGGCCGCAGGGAAGACGTTGGGCAGGACGCTGGAGATCAAGCAGCTGGACGTGTGTGACGAGAAGTCCATCAAGGCCTGTGTGGACAGCATTCCCAACCGGAGGATTGACATTCTCGGTGAGAGACCGCCGGCTCCCTGACACAGGGACTGGAGACCTGGGGAGGGGTGGGGGGGTTGACACTGAGCTCATCAATCACTGGTGTCTGCACACAACGGTCATTAGTCCGAAGGCTCAGGAGTCAGGAAAAATATTCCATTGAGTAATTCAAAAATAAAAAGGCTGAAGGGTTATGTTTTCATGCAATACTTAACTTGTGACCCTTCAGAATATAAAATAGAATTTCTGAATATAGAACAGCACCTCTGACAGGCCTCTGACTAGACTCCTACGCTTCTTAATCATAATACCTACGATATTTCTTACCATTAGGTGTGAATGTGGGTTTTACAGTACATGCATCTTTTTATGCAGCTAGAGCTCTGTATTACATCACAGCTTCTGTTTAGAGTCTGCTGCCTTCTGTTGCCAGCTGTGTGAAATTACCAGTTAAACTGCACAGACTGTCAGAAGGCAGCGAATGTGACTTTTAAAGGGTCGGCATTTTACAGTCGCTGTTCATCTCCTGGCTATTTAACTCAAAACAGTGTGAAACTATTTGGTAATTCCACAGTAACCACTTTGTGGATCACACGTGCAGTAAAGAGATAGATCTTGGAGATTACCAGTCTGGAACAGATGTGTCTTCGGCAGACTCTCTCTGAAAAATGTCATCAGAGCCCTTGTCAAAAGAGCCGATTTCTCACCATGTTCCCATGATGCCTTGAGATGACCTTGCCTGTACACCCCAGCCAGAGTGTTTGTATCCGGGACGCGGTTTGAAGACCATCTGTGTCACTCTTCTCTGGTGATCCTGCAGTCAGCAACGCCGGGATGGGTCTGATCGGGCCCATCGAGTGTCAGACGATGGAGGAGATGAAGGCTGTGATGGACACGAACTTTTTTGGCCTGGTCCGGCTCCTGCAGGAGATCCTGCCCGACATGAAGAGGAGAAAGAGCGGCCACATTGTTGTGATCAGCAGTGTGATGGGGATTCAAGGTAGGGGGGGCCTGCAGCCAGCGGGTGACCTTTGACCTGCATGCTGAGTGATCCAGGCTAGCTGCAGACACGGCCAGAATGCTTGTGGCCCATTTACGTATACATTATAACATCCAGGCCTGGTCTTGGGGACCTGCACTCCTGGTTTTCATTCCAGCTGAGCTCTCAGTTACACCATGAAACACATGATTGTACTAATAGTACTAATAGTGCTAATGTGAATTCTTCAATTATTTCTATTTTCTTTTCACAGGCATATTGTTCAACGACATTTATGCTGCATCCAAATTTGCTGTGGAGGGATTCTGTGAGAGTCTGGCTGTTCAGGCCCTGAGGTTTAACCTGAAGTAAGTTCCCTCTGACGGACTGACATTAGAGGCAACTAAGACCCCCTTTTCGAAACGAATGGAAGCTAATGCAATCCAGACACAGTAAAAATAAACAACTGAAAAGATGCAGAGAAGTATTCAAAATCTGCATCAGATTTGTTAAACAGACCAAGCACCGGGCTTTTGATGCTGTCTGCTCTTGGAATTTTCCTATTCTGCTGTTAAGTTGGAAAAAAAACAAGTCACTTCCTGCAGAATTTTCTTTGCTGTATCATTTGCTTCCTCTTGTAAGTGATCAGCGGAACATACTTTCCATTTGTTGCTGGATCATTAACCCCTTTTCTTCCTGTTGTATTATTTCTGTCTTTAACTGCACACATTTCAGAGAACTCCAAAAGGTCTGTGACATATTACATTATTGCCAGGCAAACAGCCTGTTGGAAAACTGTTCCAGTGGCGCATGAACTTCTGGGGGTCTAAATCTCCTCATTCTGGAATGGTCCTGACCATCTGTTTCAACAACAGAACTGAATCAGCAAACAGAGACGTAAAAGCAGGAGTATTGACAAGGAACACACCCATGCCCGGATCTTTATCATTATTTTTCCTGTGATTACAGCAGGGGGGATTTCTTCTGTTCTACAGGAAAGCAGAATAAATCCTGGAGACAGCTGCGGTGAATTTAATCACGGACAAGGTCACGCTGTAAACCGAGCAGGGAGCTGCGTCAGCATGCCTGGGCTGCAGAGGAATAGGTTCATTCTTCTGGAAGGAAAGGGAAAGGAAAAGAAGAAGGCTCCGAAGCCTAAACAGTGTTTCTTTTCTTGACCTTTCAGAATGGAATAAACCTTTGCGTGATACCATACTGGCATTGATCAATAACCGTTTCTTTTAAAATGAGACAGTATGTCATTGGAACAAGTAAAGGTTTATTCCATGCTGAAAAGAGAAGAAAAGAAACACAATGTTTTGGCTGTGGAGCCAAAACTCCACTTTGGCTGTTCAGCATGGAATAAACCTTTACTTGTTCCTGACACAGCTCCCTACTTGAACTACTTCAGTATGTCATTGGCCAGCTCCTGTGTTTTTCTGCCTGAGAGCGTGTGAGAAATACACTTGTCTTTCCACTTTCTCAATTCCAGCATCAGCCTTATCGAACCAGGCCCTGTGATCACAGAATTCGAGCGCAAAGTTTACGAGGAAGGCCTAAAGACAGACCTCACCAAAGCGGACAAAGTGACCGCAGACATGTTCACCAACATCTACATGAAGAACTACAAACAGATCTTCGAGAGCCTGGGCCAGTCTCCAGAAGATATAGCAGAGGTAGGGATCGGAGACATGCACAATAAGCTCCTGACTTCCAGTATTCTGTTTGCCATGTGCAGCTCCAGTAATTTGTGGTCACTGGGTCAAATATACAATTATTCATTTGGCACTTTGAAGCTTTTTTTAAATAAAAATATAAACCTAGGAGCAGTCGATGATAATGGATCATCGTGTAGCCTGGATGATACCACAAAGCTGTGTTTAAGGCAAACAGCTGCTGATGTTGCATGTGTAGTTCAGGCAGTAAACACAGCGTATTGCTGATTTCCTTCTATCACACAGCCTCTCGGAAAGTAACATTATTCTTCAGACATGAAACATATCGCCCATCAGCAAAGAGTTTCACAGAACAGAAAATGAATTATTGCCTATTCTGATTTTATATAACTGAACCAAAATGATAAATTGAAGTATTTCCTGTTTAATTTTCATAAAGATTCAGCTTTTTACATCTGCTTCCTCAGCACACGCTCAAGATCATCAACGCAGGGACCCCACCCTTCCGCCACCAGACCAACACCCTCTACACGCCCATGACCACCCTCAAGTACGCCGACCCCAGTGGCGACCTGCCCATCGACACCTTCTACAAGATGGTGTTCGAGCACGACAAGGTCTTCAACGCCAGCCTGAACTTCATCAAGCTGCTGCGCTGGAGGAGTCGCAAGAGCTTCTCGCTGGGGAAGCCCCAGTCCTAGAGCCGCGGGCATGCCCCTGCGCCGCCGCCGCCGCCCCCTGCAGCTGCTCTCCGGAAGGACGGCCTCGCCCGCGCCCAGCCTCTCTAGCCCCCCCTCGCCAGGATGCAAGCCTGCTCAGGAGACTTCGAGTCCAGGGCTGTCCCGCCCCGAAGGCGGGACAAGCGTGTGGATGAGTCTAGAGCAAAGGCCCGCGTGGTGCATCTTTAAAAAAAACAACTGATTTTCAGACCTGAGTTTTTCCTCGGCGCGCTAATGCTTCATTCTGTAGAGGTATTTTAATAGCCTGAGCTGGAGAGCGTGGAAGATCGAGTCTGAAACAAGTACAGTCCAGTCTGGTGCTGTGTGTGCTTGACGCCATTTCCCTTTCATCTGTTTTTTGGTGTTGAATGGTGAATGGTGTGCTGCCTTGAATGGTCACTGTTTGTCGCTTCTGCTTGTCTGTTGTTATATTATCACCTACAGTAATAACCCACTCTGCCAGCAAGGGCAGTCGAATGAGAGGAACTGGCGCAGAGGGACTTGGAGTGTTGGGCAGCATTGAATGGGCTCTCCGTCTCTCCTAGAGAAAAGGCACCAGAACGGTGTTCATAAAGTCTGAGTCTCGTTCTCGTAGTAAAAAACCCCATGGATAACAGGTACAAAAGGTTACATTCCAATGCAATAAAACAACAAAATGCAAATTGTATATGCTTCCTAAACTGTGTAAACGGATAGAGATGAGATGTGGTTCTATTTAGAGAAACTCTTCCTGTTAATGGAGTGTTAATAAAGGTTGTCAGAGTCCAAGAGTGTCCAGCCTTGCACCTGTGATACGTTTCTTCCAGCTGGTTGTGGGGGATGAGGATTGAGAGAGCTGTAAAAAGACAGTTCTCAGTAATGAATGAGGCACACTGTTTTTGCACTTGTGTTTGAATTCTTTATTCTCAGTTGTTATTGACAGGCAGCCCTGAAGAGCATGTGTACACTCGGTTTACAAGCAGCTCTTCAGAGCCACTGAATTTCTACAGCACATTCTTCATCTGGAACTCACCAAATAAGAATAACCAATTCACAGCTATGCATCTCTACATTATTCAGAGACCAGTGTACAGTATGTCTTCTCCTGGAATGCACTTAAGGTTAAATGCAATTGTCAATTGGCAGTTGAGGTCTTTTGTCAAAGGGGTGTACTGCCTGCATGAAGTACATTAACATTTAATGAAGTGCGTTCGTGAAATTGGTTACTCTGAGTAATAGCGCTATTTGGAGAAAAATATAACCAATCAGTGTCATACACTAGTACTAAAATCAGAAGGGCTCTACCTCTGAAAGTGGGGTATTGATGTACTTTAAATGAAATGTCATCATTTTGCCATTTTACCAATGGTATATCTTTAGTATTTCGTTGTAATTAGAATAAAATGATAACATAAATCAATGTTGCCTGATAAGGCAATAGGTTACTTAACATAAAATCTTTCTGTAAAGACTGTTGAGTAATTAAATCAAAGCCCAGCTCTAGAAACATATGGCCTGGTAATGGGATTTACTGAAACTAAATCCCACAACACAGTGAAAGATCTAAGTGACACAAACACAAATCTTCTGTATATGTAGCCATTTTATCTGCAACAATCAAGCAGGACACCTGGTAAATCTTACTCTGTAACTTCACTTGCCAATGGAAAATCAACCAGAAATGTGTCTATCCTAAAGATAAAGCCCATGTGTACTTTTTCTGGCAAATGGTGAAGAAAACTTTGGAAAAAAAGAAACATGACACCTATCAAAAGCACACCAGCAGCTTTTATAGAAACAGCTTTAGATAGATAGATAATACTTTATTAATCCCGTAGGGAAATTGATGTGTTACAGCAGTCCAGCCCAAGACAAGCAAAACAGACATCAGAATAGTTATAAAACAAAAGACAAACAAGATAAATAAAAATAAATAAATACATAGGTGTGTGCAAAATGTGCTGATCATAGTCACTGTAAAAACAATAAAAAGACTAAGACTAAAGACTTTAGACTAAGTTGTATAAATATAAATTTAATATTATATTTAAAAATAAAACTGAGGTTCTTGGAATAGAATATTCTATATATAATCCATCTATAGAATCACAGTGGTGTAGTTCAGTGCTGTTTATATGAACACTAACCTATCCTCATCTTTAACTTAACTATCATTCTACAGAGTATACATTTATAGTAAATTATTAAACTTTTTGCTATATTCAAAACTTTTTTAAAGATAAAAGGCTGCTGACTGTGCATCGCCCAGGTGGCGGATAACGTGAGATCCTTTGAGATTACAAACGTTATATAACTGCGAGGAATTATTCTTATCCTGTTTCGCTAAAGCTCATGGCAGCCAGAAAGCGATCGAAGTAGATGTTGGGGGCGGCGCAGAGTACAGGTCTGTGAATCGGGAACACCGCTGTTGCACCTTCAAAGGAGGTTACTTCACCGCAGTGACTCCTACCCACCCAGCTGAGCAAACGAGTCCAGCATTTCCGTGGGTTAACCTGCAATGAAGTAGCAACCTGTAAGGGGGTAATTTCAGTCCTTTTACTGTTGCCGAACTCAGGATAAGATCAGGCTTGATAAGCCTCTAGGCTACGCTATGGACGTTATTCTCACGCAGAGTTAAAAATGCATTTGTTTGTCTATGCGTATACTGCAGGTCAGCCGACTTCAAGGGAGCTCCACGCTGGGCAATTTCAGACCCAGCCACAGAGCATCCCTCTGGCTCGAACTCCCCCTATTGGTCGCTGTGTGGCAACATTCCGTGACGTCGCCGGATGCGGAAAAACGTCACCCGTTGCAATATGGGATAGCTTCCGGAATCGATTAGAAACCCTGCTGCTTCAACGCCTGGTGCTGTGGACCGAGCACCGAAATGAATTAACAAAAGTATTATGTTATTCTCGGAGCTGGTGTTATAAGCCTTATTGTTTATAACATTAGAGAGAGAGAAAAACAGTCCCTTCGAAACTGTGGAATTACAATGCAGCGGAAGCCAGTCTAAAGAGTTTAGGATCATGTGTAAATTAAATAGCAGCTGAGGCGATAGGAAATCTGCTTGGAGACCGGCTGATTTGATCCTGTTGGTTTCTCCTACGCTTTTTTTCTGGTGGATGAAAAATCCAATAGGTCGCTTTGACAGCGTTAGACACTGTGCAGGGTGCAGCGCCATTGATGTAAAAGCAGGGATTTGGGGTGTACTTAGGAGTTTGGCGGAGAAGCTGTAGGTTGGTGCAGTTGAGACTCCGTTCGGGCCGCCGTGGAGTCGAATCGCAGCTGAGGTTCAGTGTTTCGGGAAAAGGACGGCAGGACAGAATGGCTTCTTCGTCTGGGAACGACGACGATCTCACTATACCCCGGGCAGCTATTAATAAAATGATTAAAGAAACTCTTCCTAACGTGCGGGTGGCGAACGACGCCAGGGAGCTGGTGGTGAATTGTTGCACTGAGTTCATCCACCTCATTTCGTCGGAAGCTAACGAGATCTGTAACAAGTCGGAAAAGAAAACGATCTCTCCTGAGCATGTAATACACGGTAAGAGTCGTTACCGGTGCCTATTATTCAGTCTCTTTTGGAGGGGCGAACTGTTTTGCTCGCAGATTTGTGCGGCTAAATCGTTTGCTAATGGGTCTCGTTTTTAACCTCCCCCTTAAAACCACTCCCACTCGCTGACTTTGACAGCGAGGGTTCTCACACTGTTGTTGTATTGTGTGGCTTGCTTGTTAAAGGGACAAGAAACAATTATGGCAACGCGTTCTACGGTTTGGGTACAGCCGAACCCTCTGATGTACATATTCCTTCACCTCCTGGATTTATTTAAATGTAACGCAGACAGACCAACCCTGCTGCGAAGCTTTGTCATGATCCTTACAATTCTGTACATGATGGGAGCAAAGTGCTTCCTGAGAGAAATGACAGGAATCCTGATGCTTAGTGTCATGAATTACAGCAGAGGTGCCGGAGGTACTGTGTGCTTTAAACCTGGAACAGTGACTTTCGTGGGTGTCTTAAAACAGGACTGTCTGTTTTGTCTAGCGCTCGAGAGCCTGGGCTTTGCCTCCTACATCACCGAAGTAAAAGATGTGTTGCAAGAGTGCAAAACGGTCGCGCTCAAGAGGAGGAAGGCAAGCTCCCGCCTGGAAAACCTCGGCATTCCTGAGGAGGAGCTCCTTCGGCAGCAGCAGGAGCTGTTCGCCAAGGTAAAGCCGCCAAACTCGCATTCCGTCTCCTCACCTTGTCACTGCAACGCTGGGGGGGTCTGCTACTCTGCCCCAGTGGTGCAAGTGGGAGTCTGCTCTTCCTGGATCACGCGTGCAGTAGTGCTCTGTGCTGTTTGAGGACATAAGGATACAAATGACAGGAGGCCACACCCAAGATGCTTTAGCTCATCCTGGTTGGCGTAGAGTGATGCAGACAAGAGCCCCACGGCTCCATCCTGGTTTACCCTGGTGGAGCAGAGCTGGTTACAGTACCTCACTGGGGGTACACCAGCGCTCTGCAGTGGGGACTTGTACCCATAGCCTGCCAGTCAAGAGTCCAAAGGCTCACCCTCTACTCGACACCGCCTTGACCTTCGATCGGGTGTTTCATTTTCTGTGGATGTGCTGCCTTCATAGTCAGAACGCTCTTTAGCCCGCCTCAGCAGAGGAGCAGTCCTCACGCTTACTGAAGTGAGGAATGGGAAGCTTTCGGTGTGGTCCACATCCTCTTTGTCCTGCTGGTGCCGTGACGTTAAAGTACCAGCCCCGTCCAAACCTCGATCTCGTTGAATGTGTGGAAGGGCTCACAGAGCAGTGTACGGTACAGGGTGGCCTCTCCCGTCGGCTGCGTGCCCCAGCCCCTGTAGGGCCAAGACTGGTTTAGATTGCAGGTGAAGGTGAAGCCACAGGAAGTCCACAACAGGAAGATGGGAGCTCCAGCGGAGCCCTAGCAGCTTGAGCCAACGCTGCGGGCTGTGAGGCTGTGGGCTAGAGTGTCTGAACGCC